TATATACAGATAGTCTGCACTATATACTGTATATTTTTTCTGAGTACTCAGAGAAGACCCTGACTCCAGTGCAGTTGCTAGCGCACTCCAACTTTCTGGTATCTATTGCTAATTTGTGTCACTGTGTGTCACTTGGGTGTAGTGCAGCAGCACTGCAGATATTCTTAAGCGCTTTGACTCCATCTGGTTGATCCTCAGAGTTTATCCAGCAACAGCCATATTATGTATTTTTATAGTGTTCTGTGACCGGTCCCTCCATGAGCCCCAGGAACGGAGGCATTCCTGCATGGTAGGATTGAAGGAGCAGTTTGTTACAAATGTGTATTTAGCTCACTGATCCAGCAGATTAAGTGTTCTGTTAATAAATCACTTAATGAGATTAAGGTCTGCAAACTCGGTTTTATTTTCTTACAGTAATGGTAGATTCATTTTAAGTCTTTACTTTTGTTTTTAAAACAATCAAATATTTTGTTTTATCAACTAGGTCTTTTGAATGATAACATTTATGATGACATTGAATGTGCTAAGAGAGTCGTGAGAGATCCCAATGGCATATCGGCTTGGTAAGACCTTGTTTTATTCTTATTCTTTATTTTCAATAAATAAGGTTTTCGGGGAAAAAAAGTTACCTTTATTACCACTAAAATTTGTGTCCCTCTTTGTGTATATGATATTGGGAGGACTATTCATAGAATGACATATTTTGATCCAAATTGTGATTCTTTACATTTTTAGGGTTGCTTGGAGAAATCACTGCAAGGGAAGAAATTTGAGTCAATTTACTGCTGGATGCTAAAGTCAAGACTGTCAAGAAATTCAAAAGAGCAAATAAGTCAGCTTATAATTTACTCATGCTTATTATTAATCAAATAAAAGAAACACATGGTTACCATGCCTAGAATGACTGGAAAGCCACACAAAACACTTAAACTAGCACCCTTGGTGACAGAAAACAGTAAGGGGGTGGAGTGGGGGAGGGTGCAAACATTGCTTATGCCATACAACTGTTTCTTAAACGATTAAGTCAAACACCATAATCACTACAGTGCCCTGGAATCCATCATTGTAAGTAGTTAAACTGTTTTAGAACTGTTTGAGTTCTTAACTACATTGGGTGCTGCTCCCCTCCTCAGCTAGATTGTTTCTGGAAACATTTGCCTACTTGATCATACTCTCTATCTCTTTTTGCTAAAAATAAAATCAAGCTTTATTACACTTTATCTTGTTATTTTATTTATATATTTTTTCAAGGGCTGGCAACAAAATCATTCCTGTTATATCAGTGCTACAAGAGTGTCTATTACATAAAGAGTTTTATAGGTGTTGTGCTACCTAATTCTTTTTCACTAAACCCTACATTTACAATGTTATTTAATAGTGTAAGAATTCATAGTGAATTCAAAGTGAATGTACTGGTTTCATATAGTTATTAGTACTTGCATGTGTTGCTGGATTTTCACCACAATGCTCCTTCGCCATCCAATTATCGAGAGGGCTATTTGAAAACTTGCAGCATTAGGCAGTACTTCACTTTCAGAACTTTCCAGGTACTTGTGTGCAAAGTTTATGTCCTCGTAAATAAAAATCTCAGTTTCTTTGGCCTGCATGTGTTTTGGTTGAACAGACAGCATTGCAAAATAGTCAATAGAGGGTTAGGCAGACGACATTGATGATTAGTACCCGACAATGAGGTACCACAAACACTCCAAAATGGTCTCTACAAAGAAGTGGTCTCATCATAGAAACATGCCTTAAAATGACAAGAACATAAAAACATCTACATTTAAAAATATTAAGACTTTCTAAACACTATTAAACAGAATGAAAATTCACTCAGAATTACCAGATCAGTATTTAATTACTTTGAATCCTCAGTACTGGGTTCTACAACTAATATTTTATCTGGAGCATGTTTTGTAAAAATAACTTTCAAATATTTAGGTGTGCAACATATATATGTATATATATTGATATTATATAACTCTCGTTGTCATCCCACAAAACAAAAGATGTAGTAGATACATAGAAAGGATACCCAGCAGAGATGGCAAAAGACCATATTCATGGTTGTGCAAATAAACCACAACATCTGCTGCATTCTGTAAATTGGACCACAGAGCTGTAAGAATGACTCCAATTAATCTGAGCAACAGTTATTAGGCTGAGATTTCCAACTATAGATTTGGGATAAATTAATTCAAAATATTTTAAAAACAGAACAGCAATAGGAATATTCAATATTAATTGCTCTATTTGCCAGTTGGGCTGCACACTTCCTAATGGGTATCCAAACCACACACATTAACACAGTCACCGTTACACAAAGAAAACCTGGATAGCGACTTAGAAGGTGTACAATTTCATGTGATATCTCATTTTTTATATATATGCAAGCCACTCTGGTCATGCAAAGTCTGTGAAAAATAATAATTTTAGTTTTTTTCTTACACTAGTCAAGTTTGATATGTTAAAAGAATCTGTACTTTTGGCCATGAATTTAAATAGTTCAATTGATGTTATAATTAGCCAATCCTAACAATATACATATTAAATAAATAGTTGGACCAGATAACACAGAACTGGTGTCATCTGCATTCTTCTGGACTCTTAGACATTTAATACTTTTTTTACACTAGTGCCATTTTTTTTATGGCAAACCTTTGAATTAAATGGTCAGGTTGTATGTCCAAGGGCCATACAAATGCAGATTTTACTGCTGTCCGTGATTTTCTGATCCAATTAAGCTCCTGAGTGCCTTCACACCTCTATCAGTCTTAAACTTTTCATTTCTAATTCTCAGCTTATAATTCCTTACTTCTCATCTTTACTACCTGTAATATCCTTCAAATGTGGATAAATACTCTTGGATGCCTTGATTTTAGAGCTCAGCATTCTTAGCTCCTGTAGACAAACAGTAAGGGAGAAGAAGTGGGTCAGACACGCAAGATAGTGTCTTCTGCTTTTCCTCATCCCTCATCCATGCTAGTATGAGGCTAGAATTTTCAACACCCTGCAACAATTCTTCATATAACCCTTGTGATTGTAGTCACCATCACCTGGAGTTTCATAAAGACACTTTATGTAAGATGTTGGACTACACCTATGTCTAGGTCACCCTGTACCCATTATATTGTTGTTGTTTTTGTTATATGTTTTACCTGCTCTCCTGCACTGCTGAGGATTGCTACCAACTTGGTGGATTTGGCCATGGAGCCTGTATAGCACCCTCTGTTTGTAGCAACAGTAATATGTACTTTCTGAATAGCAAGGCTGGTTAATTTGTACATTGCTAATTCTGCAGGCAGGAGAGATATTTTGTGCTGTTATTCTCTTCCCTATTCCTTTATAAATATGTTATTATGCTTTTATAACTTCCTGTATTTTTTGTTTTGTTTATTTAAATTTTATTATGTTTTTCACAGCAATCTAAATGTAATGATCATATGGGCTAGTCCCAAGTAAAATAAAGTATTGGATGTTAGTTCCATTTGGAACTGGGTGTACTGTGTGGATTTTTAGGGATCCCAGTGAAAGAGTCTTTAGCTTTAGTTGGCTGGTAGCATGTTTCCTCTTGCACTTGGATAAATCAAGAGAGCTAGGCCTGAGAGCCACAAGGCAATAGCAAACACTGTAAGCAGAGCTGCAGAGGAATAGGCAGAGGGGACGATACCTGCCTGGAAGAGAGCTGCAGCCTGGGTGGGTGCAAGAGACACTAAGAGACCCCAGTTAAGCTTTGGCGAATGGGGTTGAAGCATTCCAGGGTCCCTGTAAGTGGTTAGGACTTGGAGTGGGCAGAGGTACTTGGTTGGAGTGCAGGAGCTCGGTCACAAACCTTATCCCATGCTGGATCGAGTCCATACCACGGCCGTTTATGCCTATTTCCTAAGCATATGAAATAGGTATTATACATGTCCCTTATTGGATTATCCAATAGGGTACTAACACATATGTTTTAAAAGAAGCTTAAAGGAAATAGCGGGGGTAGAGAGACACACACATCCTTGTGATTTACATGATATAGGAGGGCAGATGGGCACTGCCATACAAAGAAATTATATTAGTGTATAGGATAAGAGTTGAGTGGACACCTGGATGTTCGGGTCCAGCGGGTTCAGCCGAAATTTGAAAAAAAGTGCGGGTTCGGGCTCGAACTTGACCCCAAACCCCATTGAAGTCAATGGGGACTTGAACTTTTGGCCACAAAAATGCCTCTGAAAACCTCCTGGAAAGGGCTAGAGAGCTGCAAAAGGAAGTAAAATAGGGGTAAGTGCAAACAAATGTGATATATATGGATAGGGAAATCACTTAAGATAACATAAAAAATAAAAATACGGCTGAGCCATAAAATAACACTAGATGGAATCTTTGAATTTAGCTTTAGAAGAACATAAATCTAAATCTAAAGCATGGCTGTCAGGAGGATCAACAGAATTATCCATTTGAGAGAGGGTTGGAGTGCAGGGTATACTCTGTCATTGTTCAAACTGAGCTCAACTCCTGATGCATGGAGAAAAGGCCTTCACAAGCCTCTGCTATTGTGTACATAGGTTATACTAAGTGACCCATAGGTTGAGGAGGCGGTAACCATGGCGGTGTAGGTGGAAGCAGCGGTGGAGGAGGAGGAGGTAGCCAACACTGTTTTTTTATCTATCTATCTACATATATATATTTTTTATTTGCGGTAGTCTCCAAAATATTGGAACATATAAAAAAAGAAAACTGTTCCACAAAGTGACTGACCCGTGCGTGCTGCATCTGAAACTCCACTATCGCCTGCTGCTGCACTCACAGTCTCATGAGGCGGTGAGTGGGGAGGCCGAAGTTACGCTGCAGCGCAGACAGGCGAGCAACAGCAGGGTGAGAACGCCAAAAGCGAGCACAAACAGCCGCACTGTCTGCAGCAGCTCTGATATATCTGGGTATACACCGTGGCATCACAAGGGCCACCCAGAACTGTCTCAACTCCCATCAAGCCAGTTTCCCGGAGGAGATCACCCAGCTCGTAATGCTAGAGCACTTTTTCAATGTGCTCCCCAACGACAAGGTGACGACATATTCGTATGTCAATCCATATCAACTTTCGATGCCATTTACTGCACCTACCATGGTGACCACGGGTAACGGGGAATCAGGGTTTGATTCCGTACAGGGACCCAGACAAATTGCTACCACATGCAAGGAAGGCAGCAGGCGTGCAAATGACCCACTCTCGATGCGGGGAGGTAGTGACGACAAATAACAATACAGGACTCTTTAGAGGCCCTGTAATTGTAATGAGTCCACTTGAAATCCTTTAACTCTGATCAATTGGCGGGCAAGTATGGTGCAGAGCAACTAACCCATGCGTGCTGCAGCTGAAACTCCACTATCGCATGCTGCTGCTCGCACAGTTTCTCCAGCATGTGCAAGGTGGAGTTCCACCTTGTGGGCACGTTGCATATGAGGCGGTGAGCGGGAAGGCCAAAGTTATGCTGCAGCGCAGACAGGCGACCAGCATCAGCAGGGTGAGAACGCCGAAAGCGCACACAGCTGCTACAGTGAATGTCACATCCTGTTCCAAGTTGCGGATCAGTCTGGTGATGGCTTCTGTTATCCAGAACTCTTTTTACTAAAGCTGCATCAGGGTCCTGGTATGTGGCCGCACAAACGCTGGTGCTCAACACCAGGGGGCGTGTGGTTACCCTGCACCAGACCCTGCTAATCCATTCCACGCTGCAACTCCTAACTTCAACATCAGGCATACTGGGTCCCGGTCGTCCGACCGCTGTGCAGACAGTGTGTGGGTCCCGGTCACCAGACTGCGAAACTGCGAATGGTTGTTATATCTGCTATGGTTCCTTTTATCGCTCCATCTGTTACTTGGATAACTGTGGGAATTCTAAAGATAATACATGCCGACAAGCGCTAGGGGTCGGTCGCTCCGCTTTTGCACCCTGCTCCCTCTTATGCTCTGCTGGTGCCTCTGTGTGACCAGCGCCTCTTTCCCCAAACTGCACATGTCACTCGCATGACCTTGATTCCATGTGGGGTTTCGGACATCATCATCCTCCACATCAACTTCCACCCACTCCTCAACCCTGCCCTCATTGCCGGTCTGCACACTGCAGAAAGCCACAGCAGTTGGCACCTGTGTTTTTCCAGCATGTAAAGTCTGCAAAGGACATATGGAAATTGTTTTAGAATTGTATCCAGGCAACAGTTTCCCTATAAACTGACCTCTCAGTTTGACTTGTGAGGAAATTGTTTTAGAATTGTATCCAGGGAACAGATTTCCCTATAAACTGACCTCTCAGTTTGACTTGTGAGGGATTGCCTCCGAATTACAATAATGTTATATTGGTATTTGACGCTTCTATTGGACTCTCAGATATGAAGAGCACGCCCAAAATTTACTATTTAGCAAATTAGCAGCAAAACAATTAGAATTTTTACAACTGCGCTGTAAGCGCACTATTTGACGCTTCTATTTGACTCTCAGATATGAAGAGCAGGTCCAAAATGTACTATTTAGCAGATTAGCAGCAAAACAATTAGAATTTTTACAACTGCGCTGTAAGCACACTATTTGACGCTTCGATTTGACTCTCAGATATGAACAGTAGGCCCAAAATGTACAGTTTAGCAGATTAGCACCCAGAAAAAATAATTTTTATAACTGCGCTGTAAGTGCACTATTTGACGCTTCTATTTGACTCTCAGATATGAAGAGCAGGCCCCAAAATGTACTATTTAGCAGTTTAGCAGCAAAACAATTAGAATGTTTACAACTACGCTGTAAGCGCACTATTTGACGCTTCGATTTGACTCTCAGATATGAACAGTAGGCCCAAAATGTACAATTTAGCAGATTAGCACCCAGAAAAAATAATTTTTATAACTGCGCTGTAAGTGCACTATGTGACGCTTCTATTTGACTCTCAGATATGAAGAGCAGGCCCCAAAATGTACTATTTAGCAGTTTAGCAGCAAAACAATTAGAATGTTTACAACTGCGCTGTAAGCACACTATTTCATGCTTCGATTTGACTCTCAGATATTAAGAGTATGCCCAAAGTGTACGATTTAGCAGATTAGCACCCAGAAAAAATTATTTTTATAACTGCGCTGTAAGTGCACTATTTGACGCTTCTATTTGACTCTCAGATATGAAGAGCACGCCCAAAATGTACTATTTAGCAGTTTAGCAGCAAAACAATTAGAATGTTTACAACTCCGCTGTATGTGCACTATTTGACGCTTCTATTTGACTCTCAGATATGAAGAGCACGCCCAAAATTTACTATTTAGCAGCAAAACAATTAGAATTTTTACAACTGCGCTGTAAGCGCACTATTTGACACTTCGATTTGACTCTCAGATATGAAGAGCATGCCTAAAATGTACTATTTAGCATGTTAGCATCCAGAATTTTTACAACTGCGCTGTAAGCACACTATTTAACGCTTCTATTTGACTCTCAGATATGAGGAGCAGGCCCCAATATGTACTATTTAGCAGTTTAGCAGCAAAACAATTAGAATGTTTACAACTGCACTTTAAGCGCACTATTTGACGCTTCTATTTGACTCTCAGATATGAAGATCACGCCCAAAATGTACTATTTAGGACTTTAGCAC